AAAACATACCTCAGCAATATATGTGCGCCCATGTTTATAGCAGCTAAGTCTTGGAAACAACCTAAGTGCCCATCGACTGAGGAATGGGTAAAAAGATGTATTTTTATACAGTGGAGTATTACCCAGCTATTACAATGATAAACTTGAGGCTTTTACAGTTAAATGGATACAACTTGAGACCATACTCATAAGTGAAATCAATTAGACCTGCATGTGTAAACATCATATTATATTCCTGATGTAAGAACCTGAAAGAGTAAATAAAATCTGGAAGGTACAGTAGAATCTGTGAAAGGGAAAGAAACTGCTCAAAAGGAAGAACAACTGGGATGAGAGAAGAGAAAAAAGAAATAAGGAAGGGAAAAAGAAGTATACATGTATGTACACAGGATAGCTTCATAATTGTACTGCTAATTTCTGCTGGTCTATTGAAAGGATAATGCTTAAATGTTTTTCTCTCCTTTTTAATTGTTTAGAATTGTTTTCTCGACCAACTTTGCATGTTCATATCTAGTAATCTAAATAACTAATTTGAAGATAATGATGTGCAATATAACAGCCATTGTAATTTGAATCCCTATCATTTTGTTTTGTGAAATTCTCTATTGTTTCTTTTTGTAATTTTTAAAAAATGTATTTAGTATGTGGTCTACAGGGTCTCACTACACAGATCTGATTCATAGTGATCCTCCTGGGGCCAGGGAGATGGCTCAGTAGAATAAGTACTTGCCTGCCAAGCCCAAGGGCCTGAGTTCAATCCCCAGTTCCGCAAAACAAAAAAAATACATTGTGATCCTCCTGTTTTCAGTCTCTCAAATGCAGGAATTACAGGTGGGCGCCACCATGCCATCTCAGTCGCCGTCTCAGTGTGCTATTTATAACATGGGTTCAGCCTTGGCCAAATATATATAATTATTGCATCTAGAACTGATTAATGTAATTAATACATTTTGGTATAGTTTGATAGAATTATTAGCTATTTATGACCCAATGAAGTTTGCTCCCAGTATTTTCCATAAATAAAAGGTCTGAGTTAATAAGAAGATACCCTCTTCACCTCCTGTCTAATTAGCTATGAATATTATAAGGCTATTGACAGCTTATTTACTTATTTATTTATTTTTGCGGAACCAGGGATTGAACTCAGGCACTTCCACTTGCCAGGCAAGTACTTATTCTACTGAGCTAACTCCCCAGCCCAACAGCTTATTTAGACTTGCCAGTCTTCTCAAGTTGCTGGCAGGAGTATGCTGCTGAATTTGCCTTTCTGAACCATGAAAGAGGAAAGTTGCATAATTCATGATAGTAGTAAAGGATTGAAAAGTAAAGTTTTGTTTGTTTGCCTTGCTGGGAATTGTACCCAGAGCCTCACAGATGCTAGGCAAGCATTCTACCTCTAAGTTATATCTCCAGCCCTACAAAGAAGATTTTGGCTTGAGTTTAACAGTTTTATTGTAGAACATGAAATGACTCCTTATAATAATAAAGTTTGGTATTTTTTTTATTGGCTTGAATTCTAGGACTTGGGAAATATACCTATATTGTTTTATAGTTTGACTCTGAGTTGATAACCCTGGACTTTACTTTTCTCCTGTGGTTAAGGATAAAGGGAAATAGTTGTAAGAAAAGGCAGACATTATACATTCATTGAACTTAACCATCATCCAACCCTTGCTTTTCCTTGAAGTTCTCAAGTGATAGTACTTGGCAAAGATGTGGTCTACCTTGCACCAAAAGTATAGACTTGTCTTTTCAGTGATCTGTGGTGGTAACAAATAATCTTGTTCATTTGGAATTAATATTGCCTAGATATTTACCTTTTCTAGTCTTTCCTAAGTTCTCAAGGAAAGATTAATTTGGGAATTAGTATTCCAAGCTTCAGAAAACCTAGCTCTCATGAGCCTTTCTATAAGGAAGAAACTCAGCTGACCACATATCTGTAGAATTAAGATTGAACCAAATGTGGAAATTAGGTTTACAGAGCAAAATGTGATCTTTAAAACCTTGTTTTAAAGATGACAAATAATGATGACATTACATGACATGTAATGATATGGCTAATAAAAGTCAATAGGCCAAGGGACAGAAATTATATAAAGTCAGGTTTTATACCCAACTGCCAAAAGTTGTCATTTAAATGAAATCCAGTAAAAGCCTGAATATTTGGGGTGGAAATGGATATGGAGATAAACAGATAGGTGATACATAGATGAAGTGAAAGGTAAATACTTAAGAGAAATAATGAAATAAACTATAGATGATAGAAGAGGAGAAAAAAGCAAAATTTTATTGCTCATAATAAAGATAATATTTTTATGATTCAGTGAAGGTAAATCATTTGTTAAGAGATAATATCTACAAGGGGTAAAGTATACCCTGAAGGGGCTTGGCAGTACCAAATGATGGCCTTGCCCTTTTTTTGTTGGCACTGGGAGTCACACCCTCAGGACTCATGTTTGCTGGGCAGGTGCTGTGCCACTAACTTAAATCCTTGGCCCCAGCATTGCCATTTTAAGTTGCATGGCCAAAGTAGGTCTCCCTCAGAAAATGAAGTTTGAATGAACATGTGTGCCAGGCATGGTGGCTCATGCTTGTAATCCCAGCACTTTTGAGGCTGAGGCAGGAGGATT